GCAGACGATAAGTGGTAAAATGTTCTGAGTGATTGCAATAACAACTAGCCTGAGAGCGTGAAAGCCCCGGCAAAGGAATTCGGCCATTTGGGTCACCCTTTACTTACTAATGTGGTTCTTGGGCTCGGTCTAATCGCTGGGTAGAGACACATGACTGCCGCAAGCAGTGGTGCGCATATATTACCCAATTACTTCTCAGATTGGGTCCCATCGAATTTCACCGAGCAGATCATCTCGTCGGGGAGATCGATGGCTGTCTATATCTTTTTTAAAGGCCCTCACAGTGATAACGCCAACTGCATAATTATCCGACTAAACGCAGGAACTTGAAGGTTGAAGGCGTCTGTCATTTTTTGCGGATTGTACAATACCCTTGACTAGCAAACCCGCTAGAATCAGACTGGGTTTCGCACCATTCGTGGATGCATCGATGAAGTCGCCACCCTCCGAAAGTGACTATCACTATCCTGCTTATCAGAGATCAACACTCATTGTGTTTCCGTACATCCGCGCGGCTTTCTTTTCCATCCGACTAGTAACTGAGGAACACACCGATCTAATTTTTCGTATATTTCCCGGTCCGCCCGTCTTTCTTTATTGTCCCATTTTTTTGGTTGGGAAATTGCAGGTGCGACAGTTCTCAGTTCATAATTGCGTGACAGGCAGTCCAACATACTTTGAATTGCTTGATTGTAATGAAGCTGTTTCGCCACTGGTGTTCTATATCTCGTTCTTGTCTTACTGAATGTGGATGCGCGTTGCCCTTCCACAGTTATGCGTTGTTCGTTCAACGTACCGTGCGACGTCGCTGTATTTTGCTCTCAAATAGTGTGCTTCGTTCTGGTCTCTCGTTTTTCTTTCTCTCACATTCATGTGCGTTGCCAAGATCGCCTTGTCGCACCGAGCGATCATTGGCCCGTGTGACACTGTTGCTAACTGATTAATTGTTCAGGTCAACCCATTCAGGTTCGCATGTGGACGGAGCCGATAATTTCTTAGCACGATCAAGGTATCCAGATATGGTATGTGTTTTGCATCGTACAAATGCAAGGTGCTCGAGCAAGACCGACAGAACCTCCTACCTGCATTAGCTCTCCTCTGTGATGAGCTAAAAAGTTTGGAGCTTTGATCACCTGGGGAGCCTGATCGCAGTTGGAGGTGGAGTTGAGCTTATTGAAAGCTGTATTTTCGTATCCTTGTTGATACACACGCTAGATTGTAAAAAGGAAATATGATTAGAGTTATGAAGTTGTCTCAATAGCTATTTCGGAGCATATCGCGTTGTATGTTATCGATCGTTTCATGTGCTTCCTTCGACTGTGGTGCTAAACGTTCCCTGCCTCTACTTTCATCTTGGTGTTTGATGGTACAGAGAGTGATCTGAAGCGAGCATGTTCATTTTACCGTTATACTAAATACGGTCATGAAGTCACCTACATGTGTCGATGATTGTGGCTCACTAAATCATGTTGGTCAATGAAATAATAATCATTGTTGTTATCCAACGGACAAACAAGAAACTTCGAACGCCAGGCAGTGATACAAGCCTGACAAATGTTCAGTTCAGTTCAGTTTGTACAACCATTAACTATGCACTTTCGTGCGCCGGTTTTAGTTGCTGATCTTTGGCTGCCCATTTGGATGAACATTAGGAGAAAGTCAGGAGAGGTTGAGAATAGGATCGAAGAGAAAAGTTAGGATTTCAGATAAATTGAAAAGATGTA